CGCTCCCCGCGTCCCCATGTGGGATGGAGCCGTGGACGGGCTGGGAGCAGGAGCGGCGGGTGAGGCCGGGGTCACGGGGGTGGGAGCAGAGCCCGCCTGGTGTGCTGCCCGCAGGCCCCTGCAACAGATGAGAGCTCGCAGCTCTCAGGCTGTCTGGTACAAAGGGTGGGGAGGCCACCTTGGCGAAAAAGTGAACTTTTCAGTGAGTTAAAAGTCAAAAAATAACCTTACAGCGAGTGAAAAATTGGCCACTTGGATGAGTATAATAAGTATCGCGCGAGCACACAGTGAGAAAATCGGGAAGGCTAAAGCAGAAACTGAGATGCAACTGGCAAGGGATGTAGAAGCAGGTTAGACTAATGTTTGTTTGAAATGGCTTAGACAGGGCTGATCCTGCCTAAAGCACACGCCTAGACTAGACAACTTCCTGAGGTCCCTGCCACCCCTACTTTGCTATGATTCTGGGTTGATCATGGACACAGGAGTGGTGACTCTTCTAGCATTGGGTACCTTGTTCTAGATTAATTATTTTAAAAAGTGAAAATTTGGTAGGAACATAAAGTTTTTAGGTTTTGTTTTATGAATGTCATCCAGACTCAAGCCTAGGGTTTTCCCTTTCTCATAGCTTTCAAATAGATGATTAAAGGTTATCTTCAGTTTTCTGAGACATAAACGATGCTTTCAGTTCTCTAAGGCGTAGATTGACTTCAGTCGTTTCTTTTTGCTTTCTGATGTTCTATTTTGTCTCTACTGTGCCTGCTGAACTCTTTCACTTGGACCACTCTGTAAAGAGAAGAATAGTCTCATAGTGCCACCTGTTCCTTCCTAGTCTACTTTTACAGTTTCAAGATACTTTATTTTGGCTATTCCTAGGCAGGAGGCTTCAGGCTGCTAGTGGTTTTTGGATCATCTTTTGAGCATAGTCTTATTGTATGCTGACATTTATTCTGGTATAGAATCCATGCTTGTCAATACTACCTTTCAATTTCCACTGAGAAATGTCTTCATATCAGTAAAATGTGCTCTCTGTTTTATAGGTGAGCTCTTCCCATGCAAAGATTTTAAAATGGCTTCAAGAGGAACAACAGAGACTAGTAAGCTAAAACAGAACTTGGAAGAGCAGTTGGACAGATTAATGCAGCAGCTGCAAGACCTGGAGGAATGCAGGTAATAAAAGGCAGTGTCTCCCTTTTAAGTGCAAATATTTTTTTCCGGTAGAATCCTTGCTGGAGTGTTGTGTATAAAACAGCCAAGGAAGCCCAGAAGAAACAATGCAGGACAAATTCAAGTGAATGTGCAGGACAAACTCAAGTGAATAAAAGAAAAAGTGGAGGAAGCTAGGAATGTTCTTTACTATCACCTTGGAGATTTCAAACTCATGAATAAAGTGTGGACTTAAGATGATGCGTCTTTTTCCAGTTAATGCAAAATTCAGACTTTTAGTGTTTGCTGTCTTTCATAAATTATGTACTTCTTTATGCCTGTGTTTAGTTTTAAGCAGATGTTTGGTTGTGTGCGTAACTTGGCAAACATGCAAATAGACTTTGTGATGTCCTTGTGTATTAACTCTTAATGAATTTATAAAAATTAGATGGCAAAAGTCTGTTGGGTCCATGCCAGTTCAGAAATTATTTCTGCAGTGTGTTTCTGATGTTTTCTCTGTCAGTAATTCTCAATAGCTGTAACAATATGGCTTTACCGTTTCCTTTCAGGAGCCATTCAGTAGACCAGTATGTTAATGTCATTTAGACTAACACAGCTAACTAAGTCTCTGTGCCTTGATATAGCCAATGACATACTAGAGAGCTACCTGGAACATGCTTTCCCAGGTGACAGGTACACCTGTGTCTATTTAGGAGCTAGTGACCTGCCAAGCCACTTGAAATGTTTTGTGTTCTCCTTCATGGTCTACTTAGCCAACTCACGGCATGTCACTGATAGGCCCTAGAGCAGAGGTAGGCAAAAATAAGGCCTGCCAACTGATTGGATTGAACCCACAGGTGGATGCCCACCAATTGATTGTATCAAGCCCTTGGCCACCCCTGTGGTACTCAGCCTGGGGCTGCCCTGAGAGGGAGTGGGTGGGGCTCAGCCCCATGCACTGCCCTCATGCACAGCTTCCCAGCGGGGCTGCTCTTGGTGTGGTTGCAGCTGCCACGGTACTGCTCAGCTCCCCCTGCCTCCAGCGGCTCTTCCTTTTCCTGCTCCTGTTGTATTGCTCTGAGCAGCAGATAGTGTGGGAAGGCGATGACAGCTGAGAGGATGCGTTCTGGGCACCAAATGCCAGGCCAGGTCAGGGGGAAGCTGCATTGGGAGACTCCTGCCCCAGCACATGGGGCTCCAGCTCCTGGCCGTCTTCCACCCACTTCCCCCCCCCACTTCTCCACCGGCATGTTGAGCAGCCACGAGTGGGTGGAGGGTGGCCTGGAGCTGGAGCCTTGCACACTGGGGCAGGAGCTGCCCTGTTGCAGCTTTCCCCCTACCTTGTTGGGTGCATGGTGCCTGACATGCATCCCCGCAGCTGCTACATTTCCCTGCACTACCTGCTGTTTGGAGTTGTGTAGTGGGAGGAGCGGGGGAGCTGAGCAGTACCCAAATGGCTGCAGCCACACCAGGAGTAGCCCTGCTGGGAAGCTGTGCATGTTGATCAGGGCCATTGACGGTGCCCCAGGCAGGAGTGAGTAGGTCTTGGTTCCATGTGGGCACTGCAGGACAGCCGTGGGCTGGAGGGGAGGAGGTGGATGGCTTCACCCAAGCAGACTGTACATGTGCCCTGTGTCCCCCATTCCCTTTCCTCACCCCCACCTGGCCCCTGGGACTTGGCCAGTGGGTAGCCCCCCCATACACATTTTCCCCCTCCCATCCTGCCTCGCACACAGTATAAAGAGTCTGACTTTATTTTGAGCTATTATGCAATTACCTCCTTATACTCTACTCAAAATCACATAAATCAGGACAAAAAATATTTTAAATGAAATTTAAATATGTTATAGTAAATGTTTGATTTTTAGTATATGATTTGTTTTTTATCTATAATTTGTTAAAATGTCTTCTGAAAGATTTTGTGTCTGGCCCTCAACAGCTCACCAGAGCTTGTTAAGTGGCCCGCTAGCCAAAATAATTGCCCTTCCCTGCTCTGAAGGAAGTAGTGTTCATCTTTTTTGAGCAAGAGGAAAGATTGCTGTGATAAGCAACAAGTGAAGAGCAAGCGAGGAAGCAGAAAATGGGCTCATACCTTGGGACTGAAAATACAGTTCTTTAAGAAAGTGAGAGGAATAATAATTTATATTACATTACCATAAGCTTAAGGCCCCAACTGAGATTGGAGTCCGTTGTTAGGCACTATACTTGTAGTAAGCGTCTTCATTTCAAGCAGCATATGACCTAATTAGGCAAAGTATGGGAAAGGAGGAAGTAGTATTTATTAAAAAGACAGTATGATTGCAACTAAACTTCCAGAGAGAAGGATTGAGGGGTTATGGTGGATCAAAGACTGAATCAATAGGGTTGTGCTCTTACAGAAAAAGCCAACAACAGCTTGGGATGTAGAAATAGAAGTAATATACCTAAGACCTGTGGATCTTGAAGCCTCTTGGAGGTGATCTGAGGCTGGAGTGGGGGGCTGAGTGCCCACACGCGTATGCCCCAGCCCAGCAGGTCAGTCCATGGGGGAGGGAAGGGGCAAGGGCTAGACTGAGGCCTCTGCAGTCAGGGACAGTGCCACAGAGGCAGGAGCAGGGGTAAATTGAGTGGGGCCCTGGCTGGGTGGGACTTACCTGCTGGGGAGGCACGCTCCCAAATACATTTTTCTCCCTCTGCCTTAATTTGCCTGCTGGGGGTGGGTAGGAGAGAAAGTGGGGGTGGCGGCAGCAGCTCACAGTAGATCTTGGGTTGCTTTTAAATGCCAAAGGTGATCTACTTAAAAAGGTTGGAGACCACTGCGTAAGATGCTCTTCTCGGCACTTTTTGGGGTGTAGTGTTGTGTTTGGATGTGGGTACTGTACTCTTCTTGGCGGTGGCCTCTTCATAATCATTCTTGAAATGAGCCCTTGGTACTACTGAGCTTCAGCTGTGCAACTGCTCCGTAAAGATATCAAAGTCCTGCACCTCATTTCCTTCCTTTTTGTGACTAGCTTTAAGCTTGGAAACCTTCACCCTGTGTCTGAAGATGGTCTGAAAACCATCTTGTTTGTTTAATTAATTATTATTTTATTGTAACTTGTTTTAACTTATTTAGAACTATATTACGGTTAAAATAACTTGATGGAAAGAGAAGAAATGTTAGTTTTTCTAAAGTAAAATGTTGAGGGTCCCTTCTAAAAGGCTGGAACTTAAAAGCCTAAAAGAGTGATATGTTGCATTATATAAAAGTGCAAGGGTCCCTACCCTGGTGCTTGATTTATAAAATACCATTTTTCCCTTATTCATAGTGTCCAAAATACAGTTTTGCTGCATTTCTCATTCTTGGCCCAACTAATGGGCAAGGAGCCAGATCAGTGGCTTAGTACAAGTACTATAGATGAGAAGGGTGTTACATATGCTTTAAGTATGCAGTCAGTAATTGATAACTAGATTACTAGTAATTTTTGGGATGGGGGTGTCATTCTGTGAGTTGATTCAGCTTTTTGACTCTCCTTCAGAGAGGAACTGGATGCAGATGAGTATGAAGAAACCAAAAAAGAAACCCTAGAACAGCTGAGTGAATTCAATGAATCACTGAAGAAGATCATGTCTGGAAATATGACTTTGGTAGATGAACTCAGTGGGATGCAGCTGGTAAGGTTGATTCATAAATCACTTTGATAACTTCCTAAAGGACTTCTGATGTATGAAACAGGGTGTAAGGATGTGCTAGGTTTTCTGACACCTAGATTCTGGTATTTGTTTAATACATACATGCATACACATCTGTGTGCGCAAAATATATATTCCACTGAGTATCTATCAGTTGCATCCAGTTTTAAATTATAAGCTCACCCATTAAAGATTCAGGAGCATAACATATATAGGAAGAGAGTTGTGTAACTTGATTGCAGACAACCATTTACTGGAGTATGGTAGAAACAATGTTGGGGGAGACCCCGCTATTTATGGTCAGGACAACACACTCAGTCCTTTCCTTATCAGCTGGGAGAAGAAAAGGTGCTGTCTCTAGATCTTGCCCAGCTACTCCCTACCAGGAGCAGAACCCTATGTGGAAGGAAGGGAAGTCAGTCACTTATCCAGCTTATATTTCTGGGTCCTGTCATAAGTGAGTAGGTCTAGGCCCTGCTTCTGAAGACGCTTGGGAAACTGTTGATCATCAGGATAATGCTTATATAATTACTATCAATATTGATACTCCACAGAGGGGTCTGAATAACAAAAGTGAAACTGATATATAGCTCAAATTTCACCTGGCTGATATTTAAGGGCATTATAAGCAGGGATCCTGGTTTTCCCTGATAAAACATTGCAAATTCTGTGATTTTAAAACCTCGAAATCTGTGATTAAAATCCCCCAGTCCTGCTTGTGCCCCTTGCCTCCCACCCACAACCCCCTGCCACTTCCAGCCTTGCTGGAGGGGACCCCAAGCTGCCAGGGCTATGGGGCCAGGGATCCAGGTCCACAGCCACCTGCCCCTAGCAGGAAGCAGTGCCTCCTGCAGTGGAGCAGAGCCTGGAGCCTGGCTCCCCCCTGCTCCCTGCCTACTGCGGCCTGAGGTGTGGGGGCAGCTCCCCTTGCTGCATGCATTCTTGGGGGCCAGGAGGGACCTGTGCCCCCCAGATCTGTATATGGGGTGGGTGCAGGCTGCCAGTTGTGGGCTTAGGCTTCCCACCCTGCTGCCCTCCCCTGGGGCCTCCACAGCCTGGTGGGTATGACTCGGCAGAGCGGGGCCATGCAGCAAATCCATTTGTCGCTGTGAGCCCTGCACTGCCCTGGCAATGTGTCCCCTGCATGCATGGCAGCAGTGAGGGGCATGACCCCATGCCACTGCCCCCACTGCTGCCATGCAGGCAGGGGATGAGTCAAGCTGACAGACTCTTCACCAGCTAAGAACTGCCTCTCCAGAGGAGCTTTTCATCTACTCTCTCCTCTGTGAAATCCTGTGACGTATGAACTTTCATTTCTACCCAGGAGAACTTTTAGTCTTTTCTCCAGTGCCTGATGAAGGGTATTTGTGCCCGAAAGCTTGCAATTAAAGAATTCTTCTTGCAAAAATCTTGTTGGTCTAATAAAAGATATCACCTCTAACATGAGCCCTGATCATAACAACTCAACATTTTAATTTCTGCTATTGAGGAACTCGGAAGTGTTTTCTACTTCAATTAGCCAGTGAATTTTAGAAGTCCTGCTTTTTGGGTTATATTTTTCCCCCAATCTTGTGCATGGTTATGCAGACAAAAAGCTGAATGTCTCTTGCCAGCTGCAGCAGAGGATACTGAGGATGCTCTCCAGCCCTTGTAAGACCAGTGTAATGTGATTGTGGTTCATACCTTTTGCTCTAGCTGTGCTCATTCTTTTCCTTGTTTCCTTTTTTCCAGGCTATACAAGCTGCCATCAGCCAGGCTTTTAAAACTCCAGAAGTCATTAGAATGTTTGCAAAGAAACAGCCAAGGCAATTACGGACAAGGCTGGCTGAGGTAAAGTTTTCCATCATTCCAGTAGGGTTATTTGTTGCAGTCGGTTAGATTATTGCCTTTCCAATGTGCACAAATTAACCTTGCCTCTGAATTTTGTATTGACACCAGGAAGTGACAGAGTATTGTCTGTTATTTTTCAGAATCTGGTCATACTCAAACTGTTACTTCATTCTTAGGGGCAGAAACTAAAATTTTAGGTAGCATTTTCTACCTCCTTCCCCTGCACAAAAATCTGGCAACCAGAAGTGAATTGGGATGCAGAAACATTGGCAGTTTCTCAGATAAAAAAACGGAAGGCGGCCATGACGCTGGGACCTGATTGCAGGGCTGGATGGTGCACTAATCTTACCTCGTCAGAATTCTGTATTCAAATTCCAACTATGGCACAAGTAAGATGAAGTGTAACATTCTTATCCTAGGTTTTAATGGGTGTTTGTTTTCAGAACATGGCCCTGCATCTTAACAGTATTGGCTATCACTTTCCAGAAGAGCTCTAAAATGGGGACAGCCATGCATGCTAAGGTTAGGATTGAAAAGTATTTTCAGAGCCATATGAGGAAGAGTTAGCAAATTTTATACTGCCCAGATTTTAGTTCCTTAATTTCACAAGTATTTTGTGTAATATATTATTTCACAGAATTTTTTTTAAAAGATTCCATATGTTGGCTCTTTAGTCTCTTTCAATGTTTTATACAGTTGGGTTTACTTTGTATAGATGGATCGAGACCTTATGGTTGGGAAACTGGGACGAGACCTTTACACGCAACAGAAGGTGGAAATCCTAACTGCCCTCAGGAAGCTCGGAGAGAAGGTACTGGTATTGGGATTGGTAGCTGTCATTCATTGAACTGTGAAGCAGCAATAAACCAGATAATTTCTTTAGCTGAAACATAATTTTTATTTACATGTGTGCCTGAAATATAACGCAATTATAACATGGAAATCAAAAACAAGCATCATGGTACGAAATATATATTATGTTTCAATACTACCACCCCTTCCAAAGAGTATACATTAGTGAGCACAGCAAATATTACTGAGCGTGTATAGAGACCCTTTAATTTGTGGTTAATTACTACCTTGCTCTTTGCTGTGTCACCTGAGTGCATCATGCATAAGTACCACCAATTTGTACCTGTTTATAACAAGCTACAAGACTAGTCTTCTCCTTATTAACTGCCCACTCATCCATCTGGAAGGAGATATTAAAGGTCAAACCCACATTAAGTCTTGCTCCACTTCTGAAAGGTGGGCATTATCCCTATTAGACAGGTGAGCAAAGTTAATTGAGAGGTGAAGTTACCTGCTGAGGTTTGCCTTCCTGAGTCATGGAAATTCTGGAGCTCTGGCTAATCCCTTGCTTTAACCACTAGAGGGAGGAAGGGAAGCAAATAATTCTTTCTGTTGCCAGCCTGTGAAGCAAATGGTCCCTCTATAGCTATATGGTTTGTTCTGTTTAATAACCTGTATATCAGCTTTCCAGAAGGAGTGGTTTCTCCTGAGAGTGCTATCCAGTCTCGTAGTATCACATACACAATAACTTTTAAGTGACTCAGTGTATTTTTTGCTGCTCTGTTACTTGGATAATAATTCATCTGTTGTTTTCCTTCAATAGCACTCTGGTTTTAGAAAGCTCATATGAACTCTAGTATTTTAAGCAGCCTTATTTACAGTTATTACAGCTACTTTCCTCCAATATAATTCTATTGCTGAAGTTTCCCAGAATATTTTAATGCTTAGAAAGATTTTGAAGAAAGACATGCAAGAGTTACTTTAAGCCTCTAATATGTTAATGCAATACAAGGTAGCCTTAATTCTATGTATTTTAAATAATACACTTTTATTAACATTCTGAGGTATGTTTATCATTATTTTTCCTGCAAGAGTCAGTAACACCACTTTCTAATAAAACAAAATGAGCTTCTCTCCTTACAGTTTTTTTAGATATTAAGTCCCACATACACTAGAAATACAAATACATTGCATTTTTATCTGACCTAGAAAGACAGTTGAGTTGCATCCTTTAAGTTATGAGGAAAGACTACAGGACCATTTGTCAGCTATTTCTGCCTGTATATCTGATATGCTAACTATGTGTGTATGAATAGAGTCTGAAAAATATGAGTAAATGTTACATGCCTACTTAAAAGCTTTCATTAAATGTTTGCTGAGTACAGCTCTGGACAGGGAGCTGAGAGGATTGAACTCCAGACAAACTAGTTTCATTAGCGCTATGAACAGGGAGGTGTTTTGTGTGCCATCAGCAATCCCTTGCAGTCAAGGATGGTTGTCTTCCGCGATTGTCCTATCTGTGGGTCCAAAGATGGCTGACAAGGCCTATCTGGGATTGATAGATGTAGCTTGGGCACGTGTTTCTGTGCGGGTTGGGTGGTTCTGAGTTCCTGATTCAGTCCGTGACACGCTGTTACCGCTGCTCCCACTTTTCTGTCTCCTGTTGTCATCATAAGGTTTCAGAGTACTGAGATCCTTGCAGCACACTTTTCCTTAATTTGGGGTGGTCCTGGGCGATAATCTCCCACGAGTTGATGTCCATGCTGCATTTTTTCAAGTTGGCCTTGAAGATATCTTTTGAAGCACTTTCTCTGCCATCCTCTTGAGCGTTCACCTTGACTGAACCAGGAGAACAGAACTTGCTTCAGGAATCTGGCCTCGGACATTCAGATGATGTGACCAGCCCAGCAAGATTGACATTGGATGATCATCACCTCAATGCTCATGGTGTTTGCTTGTGAGGGGACATCAACCATGGTGTGTCTGTCTTCCAACTGGATTTGAAGAATATTCTGCAGGCAGCATTGATGTTAGTATTTAAGCAGCTTGAGATGTGTCCTGTACA